GACTATAAGAGTTTTTGACGACGAAGGAGTTCAGGCATCAGAACTAATTGGATGTGCTCAATTTGCATTGAAGGACCTCGAGCCTGGTAAAGTGAAGGATGTTTGGTTGAAGCTGGTGAAAGATTTGGACATCCAAAGAGATAACAAAAACAGGGGTCAGGTCAGAACTCCATGACATCAAGTTTTCACTTCCCCGTTCAGTTAAAAGGAGTTATCTACTCAACTTTTATGCGCTTATACAGGTGCATTTGGAGCTTCTTTACTATCCCTTTGGCACTGATAAGAACCTCTATACAAACCCATTTGACCCAGATTATACATTAACCTCGGTGGAGAAGGCTCTACAGACGGCTCCGTATGGCTCAGAAGATTCAGATTCTGGAAAACCAAGTTCCCCACAGAAGAGGGATGTGATAGTGAGAGGAGTCCTGTCTGTGACAGTAATAGGTGCTGAAGAATTGCCTTCTGTAGATTTCATGGGAAAAGCCGATCCGTACGTTGTCCTCGTTATGAAGAAATCCGAGACCAAAGTTAAAACCAGGGTGAGATTCTCTCAGTTTTGCAGTTTGTCTTTTCAAAATTTCTTTCATTTCATCTTTATACAAATCCTTCTTTTCCTATTTCTCTATCTCTCGTCCATAATAATCCTTCAAATTGTTTGTGTTTGTGTCGAGGATTGTTAGAAGGGAGTCTCAAATTGGCTATTTTAGGAAATGGTCATGAGTTTACAAGTAAGGAATACATCTCCATTCGTACGAGGCTTTCTAGTGACGCCCAAGACAAAGCAATGAAAGCTTATGCTCAAAGTAGACAATATCATACCATTGTAGAGAGTCGTTATTCCTAACAGATTGTTCACGACAAATGATTATCCTTGTTAATATTTGGAATATTTAACTTCAAAATCTCATTGAATGATTCGCTAGGTTGTACATGACACTCTGAACCCTGTCTGGAATCAAACGTTCGACTTTCTGGTGGAGGATGCATTACACGATTTGCTAATTTTAGAGGTCTGGGATCATGACACTTTTGGAAAGGTAATCTTCTCCATCCCAATCATTTTATTTTAGCTGCCTAGAATTTGACGTTAGAGGATTGTTGGAAGCGAGTCCGACATTCGCTAATTAAAGGGATGATTATAGATTCATAAGTAAGGAATACATATCATTAGGAAGGATTGTGGTTCCTAACATTTGTTTGTGGTTTGAATATTAGTTTGATTAGTAGAGTCCCAACATGCTAACTAACTATTAAACACAAATTTACCAACTGATTGACCAGCCTGAAAAACGTGTTATCAGTTCAAGACACGATACTTACCTATTAACTGATTCAGTCATGGGTGATATTTATTTTTACTTGCATCTTACTTATAGGAATTGATCCGTCTTCCATAAAGGAGCGGAATGAAACCAAAGTTTTACAATTTTGAATCAATCTAGTAAGAGTAAATTTGACCCTTTATAAGACTTGATTAGTGTTGATATACAGGATAAACTGGGGAGGTTCTTAATGACGCTGACAAGAGTGATATTGGAAGGAGAAATTCAGGACAGTTTCCCACTGGAAGCAACCAAATCAGGGCGGATTTTTGTGCATCTCAAGTGGGCAGCTCAGCCAATCTTCCGAGACACTTGAAACAAAAAACAAGAAACCTCCTCATTCTTCCTTTCTTTCCCAGTTTGGCCAAGAGCTGCAGTGCCTCATGGTCATCACACTGAGGTACTTGATTTCAAGTGGTTAAAAAACCAAGTCAAGGGTGGGAATTCATCTCTTTCTCATCACTCCACACCACTCTCACAATACCCATTTCTTTCATTTCTGGTCTCATTATTTTCATTCTTTTTATTTCTTCTGTAGTTTTAAGACTAATAATATGTTTTAATTAAATTAACACATATTATTAGTGTTTGTGCTGCTCTCTCTCTTGCAGTTTAGCTGAGGAGTTGAATCATCTCGGAGATATATGTTCCGTTAAAGTGATCACAACTTAACGGTAACTGACATGTACTTCTTTTTTAAAAATTAAAAATTCAAATTTTTATATCAAATGTTTACCATACTAAAAACGTAGAGATACACGAACTACTTGTCGCATCTAATAATTGAAGTGGGTAAAGTTTTGAGATTTTTTTTAGATGTAATAATAATTTAATCATCTTTAAAATGTATAAATGTATAAATGGTCAAGTAATTTTTGTCTCCACGTGTGTAAAAGGACTTTAACACACGTGTCGTGTTGGGGGACCGTACTTTGAACCAAATGGAGGGAAGCCACCAAGGCAATGGAATCGGATATTAATAGCATAGAAACAATCTCATGAACATTTATTTAGGTAAATGTTAATTTTTTAAAATATATTTGTAGATATTTTCTGTACTGTGATATGTAAATTTGAATGTTTATCGCCTATTTTAATTTTGTGGGGAAATTATTTTATAACATATTCAAATTTATGGTAAAATAAAATTAAAAATTAAAAATTAAGAAAACAGTGATAGCCACACATATTTTTTATATTCATAAAATAAAATTAATGATAAAATCTCGTTATATCCAAATATATTGTTTTGTTACGTAATTTACTCAACAAAATTTTTCATGTTCTTAAACAAATTGTCAAATCCACTGTGTCATATGGTTGAGTTGAATTAGGTAATTGTAACCGTCTAAGCATCGCTAGCAAATGATGATTTCTATTGGCTTTCTTTTCCAGGTTTCCTCGTCAAAACTGAATGAACGGACTTGGTTTAATCCAAAATTACGATTTTACTACAAATGGGCGAGAACAAATAATCATTCACTTCTTTTAATTCTATTACCGTATATATATATATATATTTAAATATACATTTAATTCTATCTAAATAAATATTTTTTTCATTTTACAAATTTAAAATATAATTTATTTGACATTATTGGACTTCAAAAAAGAGAGAAAATTATTGATATTCTAAGAAGGAAGAAGAAAAAGAATATGAAACTGAATTACCAACTTCTCCCGGGCGGCTCTTCGCACGCCTCGCCACTTGTGCGAAATTCTCTATCATTGCATTCAATTGCTTTCAACTTACATATGCTCCGGTGGCGCTCCGGTGGTGGTTACGACCTGAATCATATTCATCGTAACCTTCGCGGAATCTCTGTTTCTCTTTTGTGTTTTGCACTGCAATGCATCAGCGTGATCCACTGCGACTTCATTTATATAGCGTCTCGTTGGTGGATCATTGTTCTTCAGTGTGTTCGAGAGATCTAGAGCGCTGCGGTAATGGCGGGAAATGGTTGGGTGAACAGTTACTTGGAGGCGATACTAGACGTTTGGCCTGGACTCGATGATGCCAAAGCGTCGCTTCTGCTGAGGGATAGAGGACACATCAGTCCTCGTTGAGGAGGTCATCACTTGCTTCGATGAAATCGATCTCTTGGGATCGAGTACGTCATTTTGATTTTTCGCTCTCTTTTAGGTTGCTTACCGGAGTATGAGGAGGTTTTTTTTTAATGCAACATCTACATCTCAGTGATTTAGGCTGCGGCTACGAGGAGGCCGCAGGGGAGGAACACGAGGCTGGAGAACATGTATTCTGGAGGATTTTGGCGCGAACGAAGAAACAGGTCTGCTTTCAACGTCTCTTCGTCTTTTTCTAAACTTCAGTTTTCGTCGATTGTAATTTCAGAATATGATCGAGTACATTACGATTTAACAACTCTAGCTGCGGTTGAATCTTGTAAAAACTAGGTGAATTCGTTTCATAATTTAGATGCATTAGTGACATTCATGTTGCTTCCGATGCATGAGTGTTTCTGAACATATTATAGATGAAACCGGAAGTTACCTAAATCGGTCTGATGAACTATTTCATATGATCGAATGAACATATATGGAGTGAAATTGTTGTTCTGTGACTTTTAGAGTCATCCTCTATTGGATAATACCGATCACATGGTTGACGATTCTCTCAAATTTTGCCTTGGCTCCCCTGATGTCTAAATTCTATGCAGCTCATTTCTTATCTAGATGCTTAATAAATTGTTGTTTGGAAGAAGGAAAATGAGTGCTTCTTACAATCATTTTGATGATGAAAAATGTAATTGCAGCTTTCTACAGTTAAAGAGCTACTGAAATTGATGAGAATCCAGTCTCTTAGATGTCATGCTTTATATTGTCAAAATGGAAAGAAGTTGAATGCCATACCCGTGTTGGCTTCAAGGTCCCAAACTCGTGAGGTACAGCTTCAGGAAAATGAATCATTTTTTATAAGGGTATGGAAACCTTTCTCTAGCATATGCTTTTTAAAAACCTTGAGGGGAAGCTCGAAAGGGAAAGTCCAAAAAGGACAATATATGTTAGCGGTGGACTTGGACTGTTACAAATGGTATTAGAGTCAAACACCAGATAATGTGCCAGTGAGGAGGCTGAGCCCCGAAGGAGATGGACACGAGGCAGTGTGCCAACAAGGACGTTGGACCACGAAGGGGGGTGGATTGGGGGTCCAACATCGATTGGAGAATGGAGAGAGTGCAAGCGAGGATGCTGGACCCCAAAGGGGGTGGATTGTGAGCACTTGGAGCATGGAGTATTGTTGCCCGTTTCAGATAGGGGGTGGATTATGAGCACTTGGAGCATGGAGTATTGTTGCCCGTTTCAGATATAATGTTTTGACATCTCCCCCCACAGAACTTGGAGCATTGTTATAAAATGTCATTAATTTCGGCCAAAAAGGGAAGAATTTTTCCCTTTGAGGTAGGAAAATCATGATAAAGATAGCGGACCAAACGTTTTTGGCTCTTTTTGTGGTATTATTGGTTATATGGCATTTTCTATTTGCACTCTATGAAGTGTGTTTTCTACATAAGCATTTTCAAACTAAAAATGATGAGTTTTGTATTGATTCCATCCACTGCAGGTCAGATTAGTTGATAACTGGAACAGATTCAAACCAAACCCATCAAGAAAAAATCTTCTCCAACTTATGAACAGGAATTTTGTTACTAAATTCAAAGGTTTAGGCTCATGGAAGCCGTCAATTCCATTCAACAAATCACAATGCTATACAGTCATTTCTTTGCATCATTAATATGAATGTGTATGAAAATCTCTACTCCACAGTACAGTTGCATCTAACATCTGCCACATCACATTTTGCCAAACCCCATACTATTTACAGACAACTCTATGTCAATACCATACACATATAAACATCTAACAGTCATCTTTTACTTTTTCTTCATTTTTCTGCGGTAATCCCTTTGACTTGTTGCCAGGGGAAAGACAGAATCAGTGCCTGATGGCAATGAAGTTGTGAGAGAGGCGCTCAATCTGAGACTTGAGCATGTCGCTGAAGGAGAAACGAGACCTGGTAATTTGAGGCGTGGATGGAGGGCTTGTCTCGTTCTTGACTCGAAGGACAATAGAGCCAATTTCCTTCTTCATGGATTCCACCATCTCCATGTCTACATCTTTGCCTGAAATGTCTTTGACGTAGAATGCATTAATTGCCTTCTCTCCTTGTGTTGCTATGTCTGCTCTCACCACATTCAGCCCATTTTCCCGCAGGACCCTTGTTATGTCTGATAGCAATCCCACCCTGTTGTTTGCACATAACTCCAGCCTCACTCCCTGACCAAATATTGTGTTAAAAAAGACATAAACATCAATACACTTGCAGCTTCATCCTGATGGTGGCGCAGGGATTAAAGTTCAGCTCCATGTAAGTTTTTCTTTACTTTCTTTGGTTAAATTACAAGATCATTGAATTCTAAGGCTGTGTCTGCTAGAATTTTCAATTTTAAGGCCTTCCATGTCGACCTATTAGAATTAGTCTTACCTCACAAACTCGACGCTCAATAGCTGCCTCTAAGCACTTTACCACCCTTTGCTTGTCATTCTCTGAATTCAAGGCGTAGCCATTCACGTGTCTGATAAAATACTCCTGCATCACAATTTCAAAGCAATAGATTAGAAGAATACTTCATATTCTTGACTTTCAATTGTAATTTACTCTGGGTGTGGATAGAATGTTAGATTAAAATGGTTGGAGTTGATGATACCTGAAAAGCATTATCTCCTTTGGAGCTAATGGAAGCATGGAAAATTACATATTGCATATCAGTAAGAGTACAAACTGTGTCAAACATAAGCCTTGGCCGATCCTTACACTCAATGCTGACAATGGAATATCCTTTCTGATCACAGCTTTCAATCCTCACCGTTATCTTCCTCCACTCTTCATTGCTTTTCCGTCTCTTTGAAATGGATTCAGAGGTCCAATCATAATCCTTAACCGAGAGCAAGAGCTGGTGAAGCCGCCTCTCAACATTGGTTGTTATGGTGGCTGATGTTTTCACTTCTTGTTGCAGTGTGTGCGCCCAACTGGTGATCAGAGGGGCAGTGGCCGCCCTAAGGACAGTGGAGAGATGCTCTTCAATGGTGGCGAGCCGGTGAGGATCTTCGATGGGACTGTCTGTAGACTGGTCTGAAATGTAAGCAATGCAGGCCAAACGAGCATTGTGGCTCCAAGCATGAGCCTCCACAACGTTGCAATGAAGATCAGCCAATGCGGCAGATATCTCGGAAAAGAGACCGGGCCGGTCGGTGCCAGTCATTTCGATGGCTGTATGCTCGCCGGAGTTATCAGATTTCAGAAGGCTGTCGGCATAGCTTCTGGTCTTGGCCGAGTTGTCAGGTCCCTTAGTTGTACCAATGGCCTGCACCATAGAAGACAGCTAAATCAAGAGATAGATATAGAGGGAGACCCTTAAACATGGATGAAGGTATGATGAAGGCTTATGAAGGTATGATGAAGGCTTCTGGATGAAGGTACGATGAATGCTTCCCAAAATGCCTCATACCAATGTATTCTTTACTTATAAATCTATAAGGCCTCATACCAATGAAGATGTATTCCTTACTTATAAACCGATGATCATTTCCTAAATTAGTCAATGTGGGACTCCTTCCCAACAATCCTTCCCTCAAACAAAATATACCATAGAGCCTCCCTTGAGACCTATGTAGCCTTCAAACAGCCTCTCCTTAATCTAGACTCGACTCGACTCCTATCTCTAGAGTCCTCAAACAAAGTACACCATAGAGCCTCTCCTGAAACTTATGTAGCCCTCAAACAGCCTCTCATTAATCGAGACTCGACTCGACTCCTATATCTAGAGTCCTCAAATAAAGTAAACCCTTTGTTCGATATCTGAGAATTCTATTGATATGACCCTGATACCATATTAGGATAACGACTCTCCACAATGATATGATATTGTCCACTCATAGCTTTGCTGTAAGCTTCTCCAAAATACCTCATACCAATGAAGATATATTCCTTACTTATAAACTCATGATCATTCCTTAAATTAGCCATCAACAATAAAGAGGAGACGAACGGAATTTTATGGACCTGCTGGATCGAGTTGATGACTTTCTGATCGGTAAGTTTGTGGCTGTTCTCATCTTTCACATGAAAAACTGCAACAAGGAAAAAACAAAAAAAAAAAAAAAGAACCCCATGAGAAGAAATGGGAAACATTTGTTCAGATTCATAGAAAGAAAGAGAAAAGAACAAGAATTTACCATCCATGAACCAGCCTGCATCACAAGAAATGTAGCTTTTAGAGATAGAAAGGTTCAAATCCGTCAAAATCTGAACCACCTCAAGAAGGAGACCTTGTTTGTTCAAGCTATCCACCTGCACCAAAAATGGAGGAGCCCTTTAGATCAACCAGTAGCTGCACAGGCAATAAACAAACAGACCAAGAATAGCTTAGAAACCCATTATTGGTACCTTGACAATGGTGCAATCCTCCATGCTTTCATTGTCAATACAGACCCTGCAACTACAGAAGGAAGAAGAAGAAGAAGAAGAATTAGGATTGATTTGGATGGAGGAGGGGATTAAGTTGTGGAGGTAAAGCACTTACGTTGGGCCATTGATCCTCTCAGGAAGGGTATCAAATTCAGGATCAAAGTAGGGCCAACAGACATTCTTCATGCTGCAGAAAAGAGGGTCACAGAAAAGAGAGAAGAAGGAGAGAAAGAGAGAAGGAAGGAATGATGAGAAATGGAAGTGCCAACCATGGAAATGACCTAAAGAAACCTATAATTAGGGGCCATGCTTGAATTGAGGGATCATCAATTTGCTCTGCCATGCAAAAATAGATAAAACAGAGGAAAATGAAAAGAAAAGAAAAGGAAAACAAATTAGAGAATGAATAATAATGGGCACCCTCAACACAAACAGATTATAAATTATAAATTAGAGAATGAATTTTCAAACCATTTATGAACTTTGAGGAGAAGAGAAAGGAAAATACGTGCCCAAGTGAGATGATGAACATTAGAGTCAAATTAGGACCGTCTACCGAAAAAGAACCATATTCTACTTATATCGGTTATTTATACAACATTTAGGTCGGGTTTGATAACCATTTTGTTTATGTATGTCTTAAATACTACTTAAGTGTTTTTTTTTTAATTGGCTAACAAATTTAATATTTTAATTAAGAAATACGAAAAAAAATAATCAAAAAAAAATAATCACAATTTTCAATAATCAAGAAGTTTCATTTACTAGGAAGATTTGGTAGTTTTAATATTTTGTGGAAAGTTTATTACTTTATTCAAATATTTACAATATGGGAAGTTATTTAATGTATAGTGATAATTGCTCCTTCCTTTGACGGCCTTCAATTTTATAATCTGTGGATTGTTTGATTTGGTAGGTTTTCAAATCCTTTCAAATCCATGGATTGCTTGTTTCCAAGAATCTGTAGGAATTATTGTTTTTTTTTTTAATCAATGAAAAAGATTAATTAATTGATTCCAACATTATAAATTAAAAAACCAACCATATCCTCATCAGATTATTAAATGTTAATTTTGTTCTTACACTTTAATTTCATTATATATATACACATATAATACCAAAAAAAAAATGAACTTTTTAGGATTTGTATTAAATATAGATATTAAATCTAAAAAATACGAACCAAAATACTATATATAAGAAATAAACCAGAAATTATGAAGATAAAGTAACTAAAATAGTATTTAAACTTCCGCTTTAATTTAATTTATTACTAAGTTAGAGAGTCCAAATTTTCATACTAGTTGTATTAAAACCTTCTCTCGAGCGTTTGATGAATGGCATTATACAACTAGAACCTCTTAAACCAAAGAACGTCTTTTTTCAACACAACACAACCTTTGATGAATGAAATTATACAGCTAGAGCGTCTATTTTTTTTTTCTTCACTCGAGCTAATTCGGCTAACTCGACGCTAAACTGTACATTTTTGTTCAATATTCATACCAAGACAGTGCATGAACAATGTAATTGGTTACTACTAACCAAGACAAACTTCTCTTGATTCGACTGTTTTAAGACGTTTATTTAGTCGATGTCAGTTTCGTAAAGCCATGTAACGAAATTGAATAAGAGAACAAGATGGTAAGAAAAGAACTTGTAATGAATAAAGAAACCAAATGGTAAAAGCTTTTCTGGAATGGGCTATTTTACCTAAAATGAACTTCATGACTTGAAAAGAGAAATGCATATGAATGGCATTTGTAACTGCTGGATATTAAGAATGGAATCATCAACTAGAAACCTCACAAACTCAATCATGAGAACCCTATATTTAGAAACGATTTGCTATATCGTTCAATCTCCCATTCCGCGCTCCCCGAACCGGTAAACCAGTCAAAATACCAACTCAAAACAGTAACATTCTTCTCTCGTGATGTTATCCATCTTATAGCGCTCTATTAAGGAGAAAAAAGTGGCTGTGTTACCATTGTGGCTGTGACGACCAAGCGTTCGATCGATCAAGCATGGTTGAACCATGGTCCAACTGCACCACCATTCACATGTCCATTGCTGTGGATCCCTGAGCCATTGGGCATGAGTGAAGGAAGCATCCCGACAGCCATTGGGGGAGGTGCTGCAGAGTACAACCCGTGACTGTGAGCGAGGGAATGAGGGCTCACGAGAGGACTGCCAGCTGGACTCCCTTTGCGCTGCTGAAGAGTATGGATTTGCCTTAATCCTTCTTCGTGAATTCGGGATAATGTCTCCAGCTCCTTCATTGACAGAGCTTCCAAACCAGCACCATAGAGAGGGGCATGTCTGGACATCTCTTCTTGTAGTGATGCTTCAAGTGAATGGATATATTGCTGCAAGAGAAGGAAAGGTTGCATCAATCCAACATGCCTCAAGAATTGTTCAGTTACAATAAAGAAGAGAAAGAGGCAGTGGCACATTGTGTTTTGAGTGTGGGTTTAGTTCTAAAACTTTTCTAACTTTTTTTCATCTAAATGAATAGGTCGGTCCCCGTTCCACACCTCTCGACAAACTCCCCCGCTCTTCGTTGAAAAAAGTAAAATGTCATGGTAAAAATGCCAATGTGTCATCAACAACATCAAGTCATTGCTGCTCCTGGCCTCTCCTTCCTTTCCTTCCAGCAACTTTTCCCTCTGAATCCCGCCCTCGTTGAAACTTTCGCTTTGAATCGCACTTCAGTCTCGTAGTAGATCACATCTTACCTCTCGCACATTTTCCCGCCAAATAGTTGCTGCCACTGGCGAGATAACTCAATTCTTGTTACTTCTTAGAGCCTGCCTAATGCCCATATGACTTCACCTCCAGCCTGATCAAGCTCACATTCTTCCTACTTCTCGAGGTTCATGTTCATCGTGATTTATTCTATTTCTTTTTACGCCCGTCTGCTAGATACCTATGCAAGATTACCAGTAGTAAATATTACTTCATCTCTCCAAAGCAACTACCCTAGCCTCTCAATCTCAATTTCCCCCAATCCCAAGTGCATTTCATCTCCACTATCATCGTCACATCATCCCCACTGCTTTCTAACCGAACTTGCAAGCTCGTAGCAATCAATACCTGAGCAGAGATATTATTCCAATGCTAACCAATTCCAACTGAGATCTTTGATTCTTTCTAACACATCAAAACCAAGTGAAACCTCCCATGTTCCACCTCCAACTCTAGCTCCTCTTCCAGTGTCTCAGGCAAAAACATTTCAGGTTCTTTGGTTGTTACAAACCCATCCCCAAAGCTTTGGTGTAAAACACCCTTCATTTCAGTTTTGTACCCTCTGCTTTTCATCAAGTTCATGGATGCCATAATGTTATATAGATTCTGGATCCACCCCAAGAATATGCTCTGCTTCCATTGATAAGATCCAGGATTGTGGCATATACAGAGGTCGATAGACTTTCAAGGGGACTACCTCCTCTTTTTAAAAAAATAAGAAATGATCATTGATGATGTCAGGTAGAAGCTTGAGTCTTCGGGAGAAACTTAGGGTAGCTTTTTCGCACAACAACATAATCCTCGATGTTTATCTACCATACCTTACTTCCCTATCCCCTTGTTATTACTGTTGTCATTAAGAAATTCTAACTATAGATGAGCCCTAAACGAACAAAGGTACTTCTACAATAAATCTTCACTGTTGAATAGATTTTTCCAAGTATGATGCAGATTTAACAAGACCTATACATAATTTATCAACTATAATGCTATTATAACATTTGTAAGATCACTGAGCTTATTTATTCGTTAAATTTGGCAGAAAACCGCAATTTAAATGAGCTGATGAAAATCTAACAGATAGATTAGTATCATGGTAGAAGTAGGAAAAAACCTGGCAGGCCTGCAATTTAGCTTCCATCCCATCAATATATGCTTCACATCGAGCAATCTGCTCCTCCTTCTCCCTCTTTTCGCCTTCAGTCTGTCCAACTGTTTGTGTAAGCCGGCGAACTTCGTCTTCCAATGACTGCCGGATTTCTTCCCTCGTCATATTTTCATTTGCATACCGTTTCAGTTGTTCGTCAAATCTTTTTCGAGCAGCTTCAGCACTCTTCAACCTCTCAGCAAGTGCATTTTTTTCCTTAACCACTTTCTGCCACATGAGAGATTCATGTCGTTAACAAGCTTAACTAGGCAACAACCAACTATTAGAAGGAAAACAGCTAAACTTCCCTAACATGTGGGCACAGAGCAATGGATAAGGAACGTAGCAACAAGATGTGAACAAAAAATCTTGAGGCTTTTATGGCTTGGGCAAATGTTTTTCTGTTAGTCTTTTGGTTACAGTTCAATTTATTATCCATACTTCTCGGAACATGTGTGCATATGTAATGGTAAATTCAGATCGTTATCATCCAAACAATTTTCTGCCCGTGAAGAAAGGATAGCCATTAGTTGAATAAACATTAGCTTAAAGTCAATTGATACCTTCATCTCATCACGTTTTCGGGATTTCAACTGCGCAATTTGAGTCTCAGCATCATGGAGACGATCATGGAGAACTTTCTTCTCTGATGTTAACTTCACAACCTCATCATCTCGCTCAGAGCGAAGCCACTCAAGCTGACTCTCAATGTCATGCATTTGTTCAGAAAGTTCCTTTCTCTCGCGAGAAAATCTCTCCATCTCAGCCTTCATCTCAGCCTGTCAATTTTTTTTAAGATTGACAATCATAAACCAGTAATGGGATAACAGCATAAATTTTACATCAAAATTGTGTTTTATATATATATTAGTTTTTAAATTCACCATGTTTTCTTTGACGTGATGATTCCTTAAATCTCGCCATCTATATACCCGTTCCATGGGCAACTGAATCTAACTTCTGAGAAATGTACATGGGTAAGCAAGAATTAAATACCTTTAGGCGATTGATCATGGCTTCAGATTCACCAAGTTTTTGTGAAAGAACAGCTTTTTCTTTCATCATATTTGAAATTTCTACTTTGCTTTCTTCACGGATACGGATGATTTCATCTTCAGTAGCACATAACTGGTGCCAGAGAGCAGCACGGTCAACATTTGCTAGTTCTGCAACATCCCGCATCATATTTAGCACAGGTCTAATTATTTCTTGTTCATCACCAATCAACGTAACCAAAATTTCCAAATCCATATCTACTTCACGGTTATTATCTGCACTGCTGGTGACACGGTCAACCAATCTTTTCAGCATCCTGGCTCGATAAGATTCACTTGCATACCACTTAAACAATGATGGATAAAGCATTTTCACAAATCCTCTAACGCAAGGGTCTCTAGAGAGTGCTAATGTTTCGGCAAGACCAACAATAGAAGTAAAATCATCCCGCTGGACTCTCAGCTGCTCACTAGGTTCACCATCTATTACAGAATCTCC